TGGTCATAAACCACGATGAATTCTTTGAAACTCATTAGCACATAATCGAGTAATCAGAACCAATCGCCTATAACTCAACTGAGTTATGCAGACTGCCAACCCGAAAGTAACTCAATCCAATATGATCACCCTGAGGGAACTTCCTGGGAACCCGAAGCCATTTATTGCATCACTCCAACATTGACATGTAGACCTTTCTTGACAAAGAAATACCACAGATCCGATTACCATTCGCTACCATTCCCAATCCCACTCGTAGACAAATCCAAAAGTCCTTAAAGGCTACATAAGACTTGGAACTCGCCACAACCTTCTAGATAGCCACTCATCTTACCCTGATCTTCAATACACAGCTAATACGCGTCGAGCAACCCGTGCTTCACCCGCATATGCCCATTCAAAGAAATAACCAAGCAATCTCTTGGTCTGAAAACTGGTACGGCTCATGATCCTACAATCCGATCATCATTAGCAGACTCCACCACTTAGCTCGAAGCTATAGAACACCTCATCAGCAACCCAAAGTACCATATCTTCACAGCATGCCCTGATCCCGCACGACTATTTAGCTGAATATTTCAAAAACTCATGCAATGTTGATCATAGAACACCCCGAAGACTCTGCCAAGCGCTTACCCATCATTGCAATAGTCAAAAAACTTCCCCAAATGCTCTGAAATGATGACATATGCACTCTACCAAATGTAAACCTCATACGAGACACGCGATCCAAACTCATCATGCAGTAGATGGCCCACCGGTTATGCTCAAATGACACCTTGCCATGAACCCACCTTAATCACAATAGCCAGGCCACCAGCCAATCTTCCCAAATTTGTCCTTACCAACCAGACATATGAACCCGCCTCATACCACAAATGAACGAATGGAAGATTCAACACTGCATCTGCTTCTGAGGCTAGACAACACATCGTGTTAATAATCAAGCATCCATAGCCTGTCATAATCCATCTGCAGCATCACCGATTGTCGGCACAAAGTGAATACTGAGTGCACAACATCACATATGAGCGATTGGGAAGATTCAAAGTCGTAGATTTCAAGCCGAAACAAGGTCGCGCGATAAGGAAAGAAGAAAGAGAAATTTTCCTAAATGCCCTGTAGCCTCCCGAAGATAGGTATGGACGTCATCATACCGATCCGCAGGACTCTACTAGACACTTGCTCATGACTCGTAGAACCTACGAACCTAGTGCTCTGATACCACCTTGTCACGACCCAAAAACCACAAGTCGTGCTGGCACCTAACTCGATCCGTTAGGTAAGCCAAATAATAGAAAATACATTCCAAATGAGATTATAGGGAAATAGTGAAGAATTATCTGAATATTTATAAATTGACCCAAGAACTGGTAGTACGACTCATGAGCTTCTAAAACTTAGAATTTACAAAGTTGGTACAGATAATTACACGATCTGTTTGAAATTTACATAAACAGATTACCAAAATCAAAGATACCAAGGACAAGTGGCAGCTATATCCGGAATGCACGATCATCTTCAGAGTCAACACCCGATATCACCAGTAGCTCCACTCCAAAAATATGCACGCAATGTGCAGAAGTGTAGTATCAGTACAACCGACCCCATGTACTGGTAAGTATCTTGTCTAACCTTATCGAAGTAAGTGACGATGCTTTTTAGTTTAAAGATACTCACTGATAAAACCTGCACCGTAAATCAGTAATAGTGCTATACTACGATATAACATAGAAGAATACATGAAACGAATACGCAAACAAAAATCGCATACTAGCAGTGATCACATTTTAGCATCTTACAATACATCGACCAATCCTTTCCTTATAATGAAATCGATAAACAAAGACATCCACTTCACAACATTCATAGCATGAGGAATGTACTCAGAGATAAAGTCAATTACACAGCAACATCCTTTGTGCTATTATCTCATCCTCACCCAATATATGTATAACAGAACCAACCAGATGACAGAAGTAACGATAATAGGAATTACAAAGTAGGAAATATGCAAGTAGCAATAATGAACAAGGATATAATGTGGGCAACAGTAAAAGACTAGGCAGAAATCATGTGAGTAATGACAGCAATTGGAAAACAAGGAATATCAACTTCAATTAACAAGAATGATGGAGGCCTAAGTACAGATATTCCAAATAATAAGGATCATTACAAGTTAACAAGTAGAGGCATGAATGACTAACATAGAAAAATGGCTTGTACTAAAATGCAACAGAATAGACACGACATGGAGGTAATTATCACAGTGGGAAATAGGCATGTGCTTGCAAATTAAGCAAGTAAAAGATATGGACAACACAACAACGATTGAAATAGAGAGGAAGGACAGGACAATAACAACAAGTCACACGAGGTCTATAAATACGACAATAGCCGCTCAAGATAAAGACGTGAACATATACATGGAAAACATATATCACAAGATAATGCATGTCTCCCATCCTCGCCTGCATGGAGACACCCATCGTGACACGATCTCACGATAATATAAAAGCATAACAATAAAAATGAAATGGCACAGCATCACCCTTCGTGCTTTTACTCTCAAATGATGTGGCACGGCATCACCCTTTGTGCTTTTACTCTCAATAATATGGCACGACATCACCCTTCGCGCTTTTACTCTCAATAATATGGCACGGCATCACCCTTCGTGCTTTTACTCTCAAATAATATGGCACGGCATCACCCTTCGTGCTTTTACTCTCAAATAATATGGCACGACATCGCCCTTCGTGCTTTCATTCTCAAATAATATGGCACGACATCATCCTTCATGCTTTACACTCTTCCTTACCAAACATGTGTATATCAATGACAAACAAGGCAGGAAGCATAATAACATGAATGAGAGTGTTTAAACGAATATTGCAATCAAATCCCAATCACAACTTTCCATGCCAACGATGATTCAATAAACCCTCAAGAACCATATTATTCAAGTACTTCCACAAATCTCCCAAATGATCAACAACACAAGTATAGAATCTAGTATCTCAAGAAGATCGGCTGTAGCAATGTATTAATGATTACGCATAAAGATGACCGAATTAGACACATCAATGTATTCTCATAATTCCGTCAAATTCGATCAAGTCATGATAAACTAAGTCTTGATTTCTAACATTTAATTCTATGTTCTTAGTATCTAAGAGTCAAGTAAGGCATGAAGCAAGAAAGTCTCGTAATTCTACAATAATAAATATAACATAATCTACCCCTCCCCCCCCCCCCCCAGCATGACTAACCCTGGCACATACATATACACTCATCACCTCATATATATATCACCCCCGCATGTAGCAACAATGTCAAATAGGAGGAAAAATTTCCTTAACAAAGTTAGGCAAGACACTTACCTCAATTCAGCTAACTCAACACTCAATTTAGCCTTTTTCCTTTACAATTCGCCTCCGCTCGGCCCAATCTAGCCAGCGACGACTTAAATACATCACACAATGCAAGCGAAAATAATTGTAATTAATAAAGCTGTGGTTTTATTAGATTTCTAAAAAGTCAACGAAAGTCAAACCCCGGGCCTGCCCGGTCCAAATCCGAGTCCAAGGGTAGGTCTTGACTACCCATAGCCTCACGAGTCCAAATATATGTTTTGTTTTCAAATCCGAGTCCTATTCGACTCTCAAATTCAAAATTTTCATTTTTCAAAACTTTTAAAAAATTCTCAAAATTTTCCCTAGATTTCTCATGAATTTGATGTTAAATCTTATATAAAATCATGAAATATAGTTGAGAAATCGATTAGAGGTACTTACCCAATGATTTGGTATGAAAATCCCTTCATAAAATCGCCTCTCATCGAAGCTAGGGCTCAAAATATATCAAAATGAAGCTAAGTCTAGACTTCTCAGCATTTAACAGGTTGCAGATGTTGATTTGCGACATGAGGTTTGCAAATGAGAACCCGCAAATGCGAAAATCTTATCGCAAATACAAACTAGAAAATTTCCTGTCAAGGTCTCATTAGGGACCCAATACTTCGCAAATGCGAAGTTTCCCCAACAACCCAGACTTCGCAAATGCGATGGCTGCTTCGCAATTGCGGCTGTCGCATTTGCGACAAAAACATTGCAAATGCGATGATACGAGTACCAGAAATTAAAGTTTACGAAAATCATTGCGAAACCAATCCGAAACTCACCTGAGCCCCCGAGGCTCCAAACCAACCATGCGCCCAGGTCCAGAAACACAAAACGAACTTGCTCGCATGATCAAATCATCAAAATAACCTCTAAAACCACGAATCGGATGCCAAAATGCATGAAAATCAAACTAAACTTCAAGAACTTCTAGAATCGCAATCAAGCGTCCGAACCATATCAAATCAACTCCAAATGGCGCCAAATTTTGCAGACAAGTTCTATATGACAAAACGGACCTACTCGAAGCTTCAAATGACGCATAACAACCTCGAAACAATGAATCGTACCTCAAGTAAAAATCAATGAACTTTGAAACTTCAACTTCTACAACCGATGCCGAAACCTATTAATTCACGTCTAATTGACCTCAAATTTTGCACACAAGTCATATTTGCCATTACGGACCTACTCCATCTTTTGGAATCGGAATCCGAACCCAATATCAAAAAGTTCACTCCCGGTCAAACCTCCCAATAATACAACTTTCGCCATTTCAAGACTAATTCGACTACGGACCTCCAAATTACAATCCGGACATGCTCCTAAGTCCAAAATCACCTAAACAGCTAACAGAACTGACGGAACTCAATTCCGAGGTCAAATGCTAAAAAGTCAAACTTGGTCAACACTTCCAGCTTAGAGCTTAAATCTTGAAGTTCATTCTTCCAAATCGATTCCGGATAACTTGAAAACCAACAACGAGGATTTACGTAAGTCATAATACATCATGCGGAGATACTCGAGCCCGAAAATTACCGAGTGAAGTGCACATACTCAAAACGACCAGTTGGTTCGTTACATTATAGAAGCAATGGATACCATGAAAAAGTTTATATTCCTTAAGATTATGCGACCAAGTACATGAGGCATATGTAAGATGTATACTTGTATACAAAGACTAAGGTACCTTTACATTTATGATATATAAAATACAACAACAATAACAAAAAACCTGTATGTTCTCAACAGGCGGGGTTTGAGGAGGGTAGTCTGTACGCAGACCTTACCCCTACCTAATACAGGTAGAAAAACTGTTTCCAATAGACCCTCGGCTCGGAAAGGGTTAAAATATAAAAAATAAATTCACCAAAGATGAATTAATTAACATTATCTTCACATAAAAGCAAGTTTACATTTCAACATTTTCAATTCCAAGCAATAATACACTCCATTGTAGGTAAAAATCCATGTACCTCACCTCTCTTGATTCTTTGAAGCTCTTTAGCAACATCAATCATATTTGGCCTATCTTCACCAACTTTTTGAGCACATCTCAAAGCCAAATTCAGAAACGCCTTCAGTTTCTTTTGTTCGACTTGCAAAATCTTGGAATCAATAAGATTATCGTCTAACTTATTGTTCTCAACACATATTGATACATAATTCTCCAAAGAAATTAAACCATAATCTTCAGTATAATATTTTCCCTCATGATTAACCCTAATTTCTTTCCCACTTAACAACATAAGCAAAAATAAACCAAAACTAAATACATCTGATTTTAATGTAACATTACTAGACCATACATATTCAGGATCTAAGTAACCAATTGTCCCTATTAAATCATCCTGTACTTTTACTTTGCCAACTGGAAGTGGTATACAACATTCAAAATTATACAATTTTACAACACCATTTTGGTCCAAAATTACATTGCTAGAAGTTAAATTCCTATGTATAACTGGTGTTGGAAATTCAGTATGAAGATAAAGAATTACACTTGCAACATCTATAGCAATTTTTACTCTTTTTTCCCATGTCAAAAAATTTTCACAAGAAGGTGAGAAAAGTTTAAAAAGATAATCAAATTTTAAATATTCATAAACTAAAGCTACTCTTTCAAATTCTAAACAATAGCCTATGATTTTAAGAACATTTTTATGGTAACTCATTTCAGAAGAAATTACTATGTCACGTATGACATGATCATGACGATCCATTTTCTTTTTTCTCTCGTATTTTTTTACTAATAAATGTTTTTCATTGAAATTACCTTTGTATAAATAAGGGCCAACACTTTCTTGAAATCCATTTGTTGAAGTAATTATTTCTTCTGCAGTGAAGCTTCTGAGGGTGATTTTTTGTTGGCCATAATTGCAAAAAGAAAGCTGCTCTTTTAGTAATGCACTTCCATTTATGAAGTAATGTAGAGATTTTTCATTGTTTTCTTTTTTATTTTCCTTTTTTGAAAATAAAAAAGGAAGTTTTTTGCCTAGATTGTTCATGGAAATGGAGAGATTGAAGAGTTTTTTTTAGAAAAAAGTTGTGAGAAATAGTTGAGGAATATTGAAAGTATAAAAAAGATCATTTGGTCAAAGATGAAAACGTGTGAAAGTTTAGGCTGAAATATTGGAGAAAAAAGAAGAAGAACAGAAGCAACTGGTCGTGTATTTTTGCTAAATAACGCGTTTTTATTGGCGTTTAGGCTACATACCAAAAGGTCAAAAAGGAAAGGAATCTTTATTTAGTGGGTGTTTGGACATAAGAATCATACAATCCCGAAAAAAAAGTGAAAATAATTTCGAAGGTCAATCGATTTTTTGGCTCGTTACAAATTTGTTTTTAATTTTGTGACCCATATATTTTATTTTTAGAGACCTATGTTTTACACATAAGAGATCTAAAGAGCTCATTTTGTTAAATTCAAAATTATAAAAGGGCATGATATACAAATAGCACGTAAAAATGGTATTTGAAAATTAGAGTTTTATTTGGATATGAATACAATTTTGGGTTGTTTTTGAATATTTGTGAATAATCTGTGAGCGCTACTGCGTTAAAACACAAAATCAGAAAAAACTGTTAGAAAAATAAAAAAAACTGGAAAAACAGAAGATTTTAAGAAATATTCCGAGTCCACAATTTGCTTGTGTGTCCTTAAGGAATTTTAACCCCCTCACACGTTGCCAAGGTAATGGATTAAATCCTCCCAGGATAAAACGGAATAAACCTTCCTGCAACAGTGGCAATACAAACTGCAGGATACCAACGAACTTAAAGAACGGAGCAAAATCACACTTACGAATTTGAGAGAGAGAGACTGCGAATTAGAATGCAGTATATTCAGAAAGAAAGAAGTTCTGGAGTATTTTTCGTGTGTAGAAAATGGAGCCTTGCCTCAGAATTTATAGGCAATTATCAGAAGAGGTGTCTGGAAAGGTGCCTTTTCAGAAGAATACGCTACCTGACGCGGTTCTACCGCGGTCAGAGAGGCTCTCTGAATCTGCCTGCCGCGGTTCTACCGCGGTTACGGCAGAACTACGACCAGAGAGTCCCTCTGAATCTTCAGCAGGGTTCTGGCGTATTTTCAGCAGTGATTTGGCATTTAATTAATTATTAAATAATTAAATAAATTTTGTCCAAAAATAATCTTATCGATCGATCATTTGACAAATCCAAAGCCGAAGCCGAGCCGAGCGAGCGACGACGACGGCGCGAGGGTTCATTCTCTTCAACTCCTTTTAAGAGCTTTAAGAAGTGATTCTATATATAAGCACACAAATGTGATTGTCCCTCACCAATGAGGGACAAAGTGCAAGACAAAAGTTCACTTCTTCAAATTTTTATTTTTCCCTCCATTTTATTTCCCTCCATTTCCGATTCACACTTCTTCTACTTTAAAGCCCAATGGCTTAAAGTCCAACAATCCCCCACATGAATGGGAATGGCTATATCAAGAAAGATCATAGATGAAAGCTGTGCGATTTGCAAGTAAGGATTAATTGCATCTGGATAAGTAGGTTTCCCTTTGAACTTTCCGTAGTGAACATATGTCGGATATACTCGGTCAATCAGTAGACTTGATATCTTTGAACCGTCGAACTTTAGTGTATACCTAGACAACCATATGTCACACAATCAACCCTTAACCGTCTTTTAGTTCTCATTGTTGTGTTCGTTTCAGCCATGAACACCGCCTGGTCTCATAAGTGCGTAGAGAATTGGCCTTACAGAATTCTCATTGAAGCGGCTTCCACTTCACACTTACGTAGGTGATTCCTAAACGTGTAATCCTTTATATTGACACTATTTGATAACTACCACATCAAACTTAGGTAATCATTAAAGAACGTGTAAAGTTCTATCCTTGTTACTGAACATTGTCTTCATCACGAGAATGGACCAAAGATTTTACTTTGACAATGTTGAACCGGTCAATCACAACTTTGTTTGAGCTCCTTGAACCTAGATCTCGGAACATCCAAAATTCTAGGTAGAGTTACCGCCATGTTGACTTGTCTTCGGCCATAGTCCCATTCCCTTAGATGATTTCTGAACTCCCTCTTTAGTTACGCCTTTTGTAAGCGGATCCACCACATTATCCTTTGATCTTACATAATCAATAGTGATAATTCCACTAGAAAGTAGTTGTCTAACGGTGTTATGTCTTCGTCGTATATGACGAGACTTTCCGTTATACATAACGCTCCCTGCCCGTCCTATTGCAGCCCCACTATCGCAATGTATGCAAATAGGAGCCAAAGGTTTTGGCCAGAACGGAATGTCTTCTAAGAAATTTCGAAGCCATTCAGCTTCGTCACCGGCTTTATCCAACGCTATAAACTCTGATTCCATTATAGAGCGAGCGATACACGTTTGTTTGGAAGACTTCCAAGATACTGCTCCTCCACCAACAGTAAAAACATATCCACTTGTGGACTTTGTTTCTATTGAGCCGGTTATCCAATTTGCATCACTATATCCTTCGATAACCGCAGGATATTTATTGTAGTGCAAAGCGTAGTCTTGGGTATATTCCAAATATCCAGAACTCGTTTCATTGCTACCCAGTGATGTTTGTTGGGATTACTTGTGAATCGACTAAGTTTACTTATCGCACAAGCTATATCAGGTCGTGTATAGTTCATGATGTACATTAAGCTTCCCAACACATGAGCATACTCCAATTGAGACGTACTTTCACCTTTATTCTTTATAAGATGATGATTTAAGTCAATTGGAGTTCTTGCACTTCTAAATTCCAAATGTTTGAATTTTTCAAGTACCATTTTCACGTAATGTGATTGAGACAAAGCTAGACCCTGAGGAGGTCTCTTGATTTTAATTCCTAGAATTACATCAGCAACTCCTAAGTCTTTCATATCAAACTTACTAGCAAGCATGCGCTTAGTAGCTTGAATGCCGGCAATGTCTTTGCTCATTATTAGCATATCATCAACATGCAAGCAAACAATGACTATATGATTTGGAACGTTCTTAATGTAAACACATTTATCACATTCATTAATCTTAAAGCCATTTGACAACATTGTTTGGTCAAATTTCGCATGCCATTGCTTGGGTGCTTGTTTTAGTCCATAAAGAGACTTAACAAGACGACACACCTTCTTTTCTTTTCCCGGAACCACAAATCCTTCAGGTTGGTCCATGTAGATTTCTTCCTCTAAATCACCATTTAAGAAGGCTGTTTTTACATCCATTTGATGGAATTGAAGATCATACAAGGCGGCTAACGCTATTAGCATCCGAATGGATGTAATTCTTGTTATCGGCGAGTATGTGTCAAAATAGTCAAGACCTTCTCGCTGTCTAAATCCTTTGACAACAAGTCTTGCCTTGTATTTGTCAATAGTACCATCGTCTTTCATTTTCTTCTTGAAAATCCATTTAGAACGCAACGTTTTGTTACCTGAAGGAAGATCAACCAATTCCCAAGTATGGTTGCTCAATATGGATTCTATTTCACTATTGACAGCTTCTTTCCAATATTGTGCTTCTGATGAAGACATTGCTTCCTTGAAGGTACGAGGTTCATTTTCTAACAGAAAAGTCAGAAAATTTGGACCGAATGAAGTAGATGTGCGTTAACGTATACTTCTTCTCGGATTTTCCTCATTAGGCATGCCATCTGTTATTTCCTCCCGAGGTCGTTTTGACTTTTGGTATGTCACTTCACTTTCCTTTTTATACGGATAAATAGTTTCAAAGAATTCAGCATTATTTGATTCTATTATCGTATTAACGTGAATCTCCGTATTTTCTGACTTATGAACCAGAAAACGATATGCCTTGCTACTGGTTACATATCCAATAAATACACAATCAACCGTTTTTGGACCTATCTTAACCCTTTTAGGTTTAGGAACTTGAACCTTAGCTAGACACCCCCACACTTTGAAGTATTTCAATCTGGGCTTCCTTCCTTTCCACTTTTCATAAGGAATGGACTGTGTTTTACTATGAGGTACACGGTTGATTATTCGGTTAGCTGTAAGTATAGCTTCCCCCCACAAGTTTTGTGGTAAGCCAGAACTTATCAGCAACACATTCATCATCTCCTTCAATGTTCGATTCTTTCTCTCCGCAATTCCGTTAGATTGTGGAGAGTAAGTGTCACGACCCAAAATCTAACCATGGTCGTGATGGCGCCTATCGTGTTACAAGGCAAGCCTATTCCCAAAATATTACTACTAATTTGATTATAAGAATTTAATAAAATATTTCAAATAATTTAATTCCTGATAAACTAAACCAACTCTAAATATAAATAATATAAAATATGGAAACGAGTCCCAAACATCGGGGTGTCACTAAGTCATGAGCGTCTAAAACTATAAACTAAGATATATAAACTGTCTAACTGTCCAAAACAAGAAATGACAAGAAGAGTAACAAGGTCCTGCGGACGCTGGCAGCTACCTTGCAGTCTCCAATTAAAGCCGACCTGAACTCAACGATCGTCGCGCTCTAACTCACCTGTATCTGCACATAAAGTGCAGGGTGTAGTATGAGTACAACCACCTCAGTAGTAACAGAAATAACTAAGGAACTGAGCAGTAGTGACGAGCTGAGCAAAATAGTCCAATTATTTATTTTTCCCAATTTTAAAAATAGCAGGAATAAACAGGTAAATTCCATAACTCAGTAAATGCCACAAAGAAATTTAACAGATAAATGCAGCAATAGCAAAAGTAAATGCAACCTCACAACAATGTCACTCCATCACTCTGCACTCTCACTCAGCACTCGCACTCAACACTCAATACACTCAACACTCTGCGCTCACTGGGGGTGTGTACAGACTCCGGAGGGGCTCCCAAAGCCCAAGCTCTAAGCACGGACAACTCACGTGCCATCATATCAATACCTGGATCCGCACGATCAACTCACGTGCTACGCGGACAACTCACGCGCTATGGTATCAATACCTGGACCCGCACAGTCAACTCACGTGCTATGCGGATAACTCACGCGCTATGGTATTAATATCCTCACAACCAGGCCCTCGGCCTCACTCAGGCATGTACCTCACTAGCCTCACCATCATCAACAAATAAGGGAACACAAC